CAGTCAGGTCGTTTCCCCGTCTCCAGTCATTTATGCTAAGCTGTAGCTTCATGTTTAGCGTACAGACATGAGACTGGTATCAATCTTCTCATCTAACTCTTGGCAAGAAAGCAAATAAGTGTATTGCCAAAAATGTTGAACTATTCCTTTAACTTTTGGTCCAAAGAAATCACCTGTACTGTAACTTGCTTCCACTGAACCAAACACACATCCATCATCAGTACATGTTACTTATCTCTGGAGGAATGAAATACAGCACAATGAGTGACTTTACAGATGATGCTAAACACATGCTACACACGCTATGGCAAGGCTGCACATCTGGACAAGCATGCAGTGTAGGCCACGTACTGTATCTGTGTGCATGAGAGAGTGACCAGGCGATAGGGCGAGCAGCACACAGGATGTTCACTCTGACTCCAGCCTCATCATCTTCGTCACCAACAGATGAATAGAGGGAAACAGATGCTGCCTTTCGCTTTCCTGTCTGCCACTTCCTATTACCTCTGCAGCGTGGGTGTTTATATAAGACATGTGTGAGTGTGTAACGCATTTTGACTTTCCTTTTCTGCTCTCGTCAGCAGCTGGAAACGTTGGTGTGTGTGTGTGAGAAAGGGTACGCCAGACCCAATTTTCCTGTTTCAATTTTTTATTTCTAATTGAGCCAAATGTGTGTATGTGATTATTCTGACATGACCTCCTGCTTGGTGAATCACTTCTCCCTTTTATCTCTAAGCAGGTCATCCATATTCCACGCTCTTAAACCTGGCATCACTTAACTCAGCAGTTGAATAGTAATTTAATCTTTTTTTTTCTGATCCCTTTTACCTCAATAAACCAGGAGCTGTGTCAGCTGCTCTGTTTTAACTTAGCCTTGTTATAATGTAATTGTTAATTAAGGGGAAATGCATGCATCACTAAATTAAAGTGGGCTGCATGACACAAACTAGGTCTTACATAGAGATGATGTGTTACTAAATATTTACACCAAGTGACTGCCAGAAGGATCTGTTTGGTAACGAACTGAATTAACAGAAGGAGCAAATGTTTGCCTGCTAATTAATATATGACTAGTTACATTGGAGAGGGAATGGGATCAACACACAATTACTGTTAACTATTAATGTAAATATAAAATATTTTTATTTTATTTTTAATTACAAATGTTACGTCAATAACGCAAGACAAACCAAGGTCGGGTAGGTTAGCTTAGCTGGATATTTCCCCCTCAACTACACTGTAAGAACACTACATACTGCACAAAACACACACATTTCTCCAGCACATATAAATAAAACAAAGTCATACTTTTACACAGATTTTGGATTATTATCAGTATGGTCCCTAATGTTTCAGTTGACAGACTGGTCCAGTACGTGTTGGAGCTCTTTCAGATAATTTCTCCAGTGTTCCTCTTTTCTCACCTGCCTAAACCAACATGTTTCAACAGTTTTCAGTCAGACATTTTAATGCTGAGATAGATAAGCACTATAGTTACAAATCTAACTCTCATTACTTGTGTTTAACTTGTGTGTTTTACAGGCCACCTTGATTGACGGCGGTGATTCAGAGCTGTTGAAACAGTAGCAGAGCCAATGAAGAATGACAGCACAGGAGGAAAGTTTAAATTTGTCACAAACACTGATCAACGCTGTAAACTATTACTTTACAAATAGCAGAGGTAGTGCGCGTGAGTGGAGTGTGGGGATTGGGGTGAGGACTGAATGTGACTTTACCAAAGTACATCACAGATTTTTCACAGGTTGTTTTGGGGTCTGGAGGACAGAGGTATTGGATTTTCTCAGGAAAAAGGAATGTAATTTGTTGGTCAGTAAATACTGTACCTCCAAGACTTAGGACTGCTGCTTGTTAAACTGAGTAATGAAAGTACTTGTAACTTGCAAAATAAAAGGTAATATGTTGATTATATTTTAAGTAACTTGACCAACACTGCTGCTGATTGCATTTCTTTAGGTTTAATGCTGCCACCTGCTTTACTATATCACTTGTTTGAATCTATCCAGCAGTCACAGAGAACTCTGGGATGACTTCACACACAGACCTTGTGATGATTTACAAATAGCTGGTCAATCCAAGCAATCCAAAATACAGCCACAGAGCTTACATTGCCTGTTTAATGCAGCTTTAAGTCTGGCATCTTAACAATATTTTTCACAATCAGAGCTTAACCAGGTTATTCATACTAAGTTCTGATGTTGTCATACATCGACTCCAAACTGTGGCTTGAAAGACCGGCATTAGAATGATCCATGAAGAGCCAGAGTCACCTCAAATCAATTTCTTGGTTCAGTTTTATCTTTCCACTCTGTATTTCTGTGTCTTATCATGACAACATTTGAACTGAACAGAATGGAAAATGAGACACTCTGAGATTAGCTGCTCATCCACTGTGTTGCAGGGACATCACATTTACAGGGACTCTCCTCCACTTTCCCTTGGAATGAAAGAATGTGATGGTAGATTAGCTCAACAGGCAGGATGTTAGGAAACAGGTGGCAATCATTAACCTCAGGGTCCTGTCCAGCTATGGATAAGAATCCTCTCACTTAAATTTTCCTCCTGTCTAGCAGTGGAACTGTTATTAATTCCTTCCCATCCATATATTTGTCCTATAACTACCTCTTTTTCTTTTACTCTGCCAATCTAATGTGGCATATTTTGTGCACATACAGGTTTAGAGTGGTACAATGTGGCTGTGAGAAGGTGATGGATGCTAAACAAACTGCATTTCCTATTCATGATACCGTAAATCAATGTAAGTGGACTTTGCAGAAAGGCTGAAACAAAAAACTTTTGGGTTCACAAATTCAAATTCTAAGTGCCCATGGTTTCCAGTCACTCATATCAACTTGTTGTTCTTAGATCATGTGACTGACAGGTTGGAATATGATAGGACAGTGGTCTAAGACTCCATCAGGCTCAATTGCTTATCCTTGGAAATTAGATGTTAATGTTTAAATTATTCTTCTTCCATTCAAATAGCCCCTTTAACTGTTGCATGTTTCATTTAGCTTGGTTGGACCTGCCAAATGTTCAGGAATCCTTGCATTTTATGTCAAACAGGAAGAATTCAGCTAGACAAGTGTTAGACTAAAGAAACAAATATAATTTAATATTTTTGGAGTATTTGGTGAAAAAGCAAGGTACTTTGTAACTGATGACTAATTCCTCAGTTCATGACATAACTTTCCACCGAATTTTACTGTGATCTGCTAAGTGCTTTTTGAGACCTCAAGACAAGCAAGCAAACAGACAGTAACAAAAACGTCACTTCCATGCCAGAGCTAATGATGACATGTTATGTGCCTTGTATCCTTCAGCCCCCTTGCATGTCCAAACAGCAATTTTCATGATTCTTCATGTGAAGCATCACAAAGGCAAAACATTTGTCATTGCGACAAATCCTCCTGGAAAAGAAATATCACTTACAACACTGAAAATTTACTCTTGTTGATCATTAGGCTTTAAAAAAAAAGCTACAAACAGGTAGTTCTACTTGATGTGTTTTTGTAGTGTTAAGACCTTGTAAAAAATATACTAATCCTCAACGGAGGATAACAGTATTTTTAGGGACTTAAAGGAAATGTGAGAAAAACATGTGAATGTTAATGTTTGACTGAAATGAGACCTTTCTGTTTTGTTTTACATAAACCTTGCCTTAAAATAGACCCAGTTTCCTGTAAATCCAGTTACAAAATACACATTGCAACAAATTTAAATCTCTAAGTACAAGGTTAAAGCTTAATGTTTCTCATACACTGATTTCATAATGTGATGCACTGAAACTGTGCAAGCGAAATGAGCAGAGGTATGCGACCCCTGTGTCCACCCCCACATTTCTGGCCAGGTTGTGCAGTTTGTCTTTGATCCTGAACTACCAGGTCAAACCATTACAAGGTCAGAGTCCACTGTGTACAATCCACAGCTTTTAATAGGTCACTACTGAAATACCTCACACTGGAAAGAGAGATAGGAGATGAAAAAAAAATGAGTTAAAAGGAAAAGGAAGTTGTAAGAAAAGGGAGAAAATGTTCCATTAACCTGTTTCTTCTTCAGTGTTCACCTGTTCTTTTGTGTAACAGCCTGTATCACTGAGCCAAGTATCAGTGTGTTCTTGTTTCAACCCACACCCTCCCTCTATCTGCTGTAAATCCACTTAACTGTGCTTTCTCTCCTGGCATTACAGATTGATACTAATATTGAATCCAGCTCTCAAATCATGACACTGCAGATGAGTGTTAATGAACAGGGAGACACTTGGATTCACAGATAATACACACAACAGTGGGGACAGTTTGAACATAATGTAATTGTTTCAACACAAGCAGTGACATCACAGTGTGTCTTATCTAAACTAGTATCAACACCAATCATATGTTGAAAACTAACACACAAGCATGCGAAGTAAAAGAATAAGTCCTCTTACCTTAAAAAGAAAATCGTGTCTTCTGGAGGCAGGATGCATTCAAAGTGATGAGACTGTCTGACTTACTAAAAAAAGTAAAAAAATCTCAATTTGATCTTGAGACTTCCTATCTCAGAAATGTACAGATATGAGAGGACTGGAAAACATAACAAGGTTTTGGAGTTCCTGGTGAGTTCTGAGATCAGTCAGTCCGAGCTGCCACAGTAGTAAACAAAAGTATGTTTTTATCCACCATCATTGATTTATTTCCAAATGTCAAATTCAGAAATAAAAACTTAAAATTGAAAAAATGTTTCACTCTTGGCCCCTGAAAAACTGACTCATTATGCAGAGACAGAGACAAAAACACACACACACACACACACACACACACACACACACACACACACACACACACACACAGGGGGATGTCACCAAACTCATACTTTAAGCAAAGTAACAGTCCAAATGTCCAGGAAGACGTCCTCCTAAATAAATAACAAGTCTCCGTTTAAAAGTAAAATATCAATATTTTATTAGTGCAACTATATGAGACAATAAAAAGAGTCGGACTTATCCATTCATGGGTCAAGTGGAAAAATAGGCAGCACTAGCTCAGCACAAAGTAATATCAAACAGTTTCAGGTCTACATGCACATGCATATGTGCACGCACACACACATACAGTGTACTACTTAAAACAATCAGCAGGTTTCAGATTCTGGCTTTAAAGCTCGACATAACCTAGTCTACACAATCTGGGTCACATCAGATGATCTGCAGCTTAAACCAATACAGGTTTACACAGGTGTTTACTGACGTCCCCACATGACCTGTGCACCGATTTCATTTCGGGTTTTTGTGTGAGCTAGTTACTTATCTAGGTCCCAGAACAAACAAGATCATGTGATTTACATAACTAACTAAAGTGGTTTCATAATGTAAACATGTAATAATGTAAACATGTAGTGGATTTTATCCCTTCACCTCTTCAGGGTCAGATCAGCGTCGACTCCCGGACATTCCTGACTGGGACACTGATCTGATGTCTGGACGACAACTCCCTGAAAGAGAAAGATGGGGAAGAGGACAAATAAATGAAAAGCTTCAGACACAGAGCACAAAAGCAACTTGACACCAAAATTCTTAACATCTTTCCAGGTCCTGTATATTCCACATAATTTCTTCGAAACTTTCCTCATAATTTCCTAAGAATTAGCTGTAAATTACTATGATATTTAAAAAAAACAATTTGGTACTAAGTTTAAGGAAAATAGAGAAAGTATTTATTGATGTAAGTACACAGAGGAGGTATCTGCAGGCAGTAATGCAGAGTAAAGCACAGACAGTAATGCATTTTTCTCTTGATTCATTTAGTTACTGGTTACTGTTTCCCACATTAGTCTCAGATAATATCGTCACTCCTAACCACACAACTGTTCCTCTGAAACTGAACCAAGACTCTTTTGATGATCTGCCAAAACCAGTTAATACTAGATGATAAACCACAAACATTTTTGAACACACCCGTCGCCTGCTTAACTGATTTCAGCAGTAAGACAACAGCAATGTGGCATCACATTAAAACAACCTGAAAGAAGACACAACTATACTCAATATGTTTGGGAACAAAATAGATTTAAGCTCTGAAATACTTCAGAGGCCACGTGTCCTTCCCTTCTTCTCATCTCCTTGTTTTAGAAAACAGGCACAGTTCCTTTTCCTATAAGTCAGACAAAGAGTTGATTATAAGCTAAAAGCTCTAATCGTGAAGTGTGAGTTGGTGTGTCTGCTTGCAGAACTCTGATTGAGACCATGGGCTATAAAAGATCTGCACAATGCACCATAGATCAAACATTTTCTGTAACATTACACACATATGACAGCTTTTTTTGGACTCAGTGTGACCTCATCTTTACTGTCAGAGCTGCTTTACTCTGCGCCGTAAACCACTTACAGCACAGCCTGCCTTCATTCCACAAGACAAACACCGCTTCTGTTCTTCAGATTAAAATGTCTGACTTAGACTGTGAGGGTGTGTGAGGGAGCACATGAGGCTGAGAGAAAGATATGAGTGTGTCTGTGGGAGTATGTCTCTTTTTGAGTGTGTGTTGTTTGGCCTGGTTTTTATTGTGTGTTGGAGTCAGTGTGTGTGTGCAGTGATTACCCTGAGCAGGTTAGCTACGGTGGCTTTAGCTGCATGTGACTGGAGACAGACCCAACCTGGTGGTAAACAGCCATTCACTGTGGCCTGCCCTCAGTCTGGCCGTCCCACAATACAAGTCTCTGGAGGTAATTCAATGGAAGAATTGACACTATGGTAATGGTGCTCCTTGACACTGGCCCCCATGACACAAGCGTATGGCCAAGTCTGTCATTGCCAGTAAGCAACACAAGTCTATGGAGCAACCAGCGAGGTGGGCCCCACGCCATTCAGTCCACAGCCTTTAAATGAACCTGAATAATCACTTTTCTGCCAAAAGAAGGTCTGTGAAAAACGAAGGTGTATGTGACATAACAGACAGCCTCCAAGGAAGCAGAACAGCACAAAAAAGACATATGGCTCAAACAAAACCCAAAGATGACCATTTGGAGAATAGTATACACCCTGCCACCCACATAGAAATGCTATTAAAAAAAGACACCTTTGTCACCACCACAATGAAATGGTCTCACACAATCACTGGGGCAGGACCTGCATGGATAAGGACCTGTTCAGTGTGTGCATACTGGCATGATGCAGGAGTTGTTTCCCTCATTTTATGTGGAAACCTGCACTTGTAAAAACAAAGTCCATCTGTCCCTGCAAACATCTACCTTTCATCTCCATTCATTGCATTTCACTAGTCATTAAAAACTTTATAATTTCAATTAAGTAAATTACAGTTATTACCCTTAAGTTGATATATTTTATGTTGTTTAAGGGAGTTGTGCAGCCAGAATTAGACTCTAATTTAATTTAGTCTGACACACTTATTTTGCCATTAAATTGACATTTTTCAATCAATTTTACACTGAACGCAAATTACGGTAACACTTGTAATTTCATAATAAATTCCTAGGAACTGTGCAATTTGGTACTAATTATAAGTTATTAATTTCATTCAGTTTAGTCAGCTGTTTTGAGTTAATAAGCAGCAGCAAGTATATATGCATTCATTATTCAATTATTACTTTAAACTTCATCTTTATCTGTTGTGGTTTGTCTGTCTGCATGTAGACATACAGTATTTCACGTTTTGCATGCTCGGGCTGACCAGCTATACACAGACTCTCCTGGTTACATTATACAATAAATCACAATTAATTCATTTTAGGTGTTTTACCAATGGGACCAACAAAATCAAGTGTTACCAATTATAAAAAGTTCACCTTCAGCTCACAGTTTGTGAGCTCACTATTTCAGCTGCACGTCAGATACAGTAATCAACAGATAACAAGAGGCACTCCCAGAGGAATATGACCATCCTGTTTACACGATAGCATTCATACAAACTACATCTTGAAGATTTTGTCCACCGATTCATTTCTGGGCTGTGACAACATTTGATAACAATCATAAACCACAGATACAGTTCAGCTTCAGCTCTACCGAGGTTGGAGCCACAGTTCCTGTCTGCGATGCATCTGTCAAAAACATCCTCAAACCTGACCCCTCCAAAGGAAAACAATGTAGATGATATCATTTATGTCTATCAGGGACTGCTAAAAGTGAGCACAATAAGCTCTCTTGACATGTTGGGGCCTGACAGACAGACTTGTGTAACCCCAACTGGCCACACATTTGTCTGATGTAGAGTTCCCTATACAGTGGTTTCGCCCCCTGTCATATACAATTGCTTAGTTAATATAGTTTCCATTCATAATGGGCCATAATGGAACTACTAAAACATTTAGACTGGGTGTCGAGTTGGGAGCATGCTACACTGGGGTGGGAATAATTTACACTGAGGTGGCTGAGTAACAGTCAGGTGAATGGAGCTCTGTCTCTCTTGCACACACACACACACACACACACACACACACACACACACACACACACACACACACACACACACACACACACACAGTTATGTGAAGTCTATTGTGTGCCTGCTACAGGAATGGGAAAGTGTTAGCCAGGTAACATCAGTCAGGTGAACTGAGCTCAGGTTGCTTCTGTTTCTCAGAGGCTTTGTGAGAGTGTGTGCACACATACAATCAGGGTACATAAAAGTAAATGGTTACACACACAAAAGATGTACAACATGTACATCACATACAAAAACATACATATTCTGTACATGCATACACATGTATAAATATCCATAAACAGGTGTGGGCAGCACACGCAAAAACACACAAACACCTGAACAAAGGGAATGATTATTACCTCTCTGCTCCAGCAGACATACATCATCTATAATTTAAAATCAATTACACTGTAACAGGAGGCCATAATGTGCTGCAGCAGGAAAACCATTTCCTTAGCAATGAGTCAGTAGCTCTTTTTACACAGGAATCACACTATATTGCCGACAAGGTGACCCTGAAGCTGAAGCAAACAAAGGCAGCATATGCAAACAGCTCTTCCCGAATCAGTGTGACGTCAACATGTCAGTGTCTACTGTGATGTACAACATACACATCTGAGCATAAAGATGTTACTTTCAAACCACAATGGCTGATGAACTGAGTGTGGAGGTGCTTTTATTAGCTGCGCACATTTTGACTACTCTTCAAACACAAGTAAAATTGCTGTGTGCTATCTACAACATGTTGATGCATAGCTTTGATGCTAACTTCTTCAGACATTTTTAAGTCCCCCAGTGGCGAATCGCACACTTAACATGTTATCAAAATGTCACACCCATGTTCCCTGATGTTGGCTTTCCCTTTTACGCAGATGTTGATTCAGAGATTTTACTTTTCAGGAGAAAATAATTTTTTTGGGTGGCGGGTGGCTGATTTATGCATACATGCGGATTCGGATGACATGAGAGCCGGTCGATGCATCACGAATGGCTACATAAAATCAGAAGATGAAATCAGATGCTACTTTTACCTCAACTGCTGTCAACCAAGTGGCACAACAAGAGACTGAAGAGAAAATGATTTAAGGTGAGGGCTGAACTCTAACATCTTCTGTGAAACACACGAGAGAGGGGGAAGCGGCTGGAAATGTATACGACCGGGAAGAGAAAGAGGAGGAGAGCTTTTTTGATGTTTTGTCAAAGCTTTCTGACCTGGCATGTGTTTTTATTAATGTTCTGACAACTCAGTGACAAGCTCCTTCCTCAAATAGAGACAACAGACTCAGCCATTCACCACAAACCTTTACAGCCCCATCTCCCCCATCCTGTCCTCAGCAGGTGTTCATAGTAGGACACAGCAGATATCAGATACAATCTTTGATACGGGCTATAGGAAGTACTGGGAAGTTACTAAAGACTTCTAGCATGACAGTTCATTTAAAGCAAGTGGAATGTAGATCAGGGTAGGAACAGAGTGATTGCTTCCGATGTCCCTTTACAGAGGTCTGGGGGAATTCCTGTATTATCACAGTGGGTAAACAAAGAGGTGGTCTTTTGGTAAAATCAATTTGAATTTCTTTTTGCTGATCAGTTTTGCCTGCCACATATAAATCACATATCTAATTCATTGGATTTTCTATTGATAATATTTGACATGTTGTAGTTGGTGCTCTTTGTCTGTCCAGTCAATGAAGCCATTGCTGTCACTACCAACTTGCAGTTGTTCTATTTAATCCAAACAAACTTTTGCACTAAAGGGGAATGAAAGTCTATAAATACAGCGACAAAGGCACTAAGACAAAGCAACAACCAATAGGAAAATTCCAAAACTTGGACAGCCAACCAATGGTTTAAACTTATCACTCAGTCACGCCGTATTCAGCTGACCAATGGTTGATCACTCAGTCAGTAAGTCAGCTACATTCCTCTTATAAGGTTTATAAGATCATTCTGGCATATTCCTCAAACTGGAACATAAACAACAATGGATATGGGAAGTTGTGGTGAGAAGAGAGGTCAGGTGTTGGGCTGTTGGTGATGAGTTTACAGAA